AAGGGCCATTGGGTCATGGTATTGTGAAAATAAAATGAGACAATGTGTATAGACCCAGCAGAATATGGTCCATGGGAGGGGTTCAATAAATGTCCCCTTCTTCTTTTTTTGGCAGGGAAGGCCCATTTTCCCACTAATATATGACTGAAGAGGTGGGGGTGGATGAAAAGTAGATTTAAATGTCCTGAGGTGAGGTGTAGCTCATCTCAAAACTCTTGTTCAGAAAATGTCTTTCATTCAATTTGTCTCAGAAGACTTACAAAATTCCACCAGAAGTTCATTCCATTGGGTTAGAAGTTGCCCTCCATCTAGGATTCTTCACTTCATTTTGGTTAGGAGGTGATGGAGCTGGGATTTGAAGACACTAGGTAGTCTAAAGCCTGAAAAGCTCTTTGCTTTCCTGCCCCCGTGGACCTTACTTCTCTTTTCACAATCCATCTTACATTCTTACTGTTAGGGTTTGGAGTAAGACACAAGAGGCACCATTTCAAGAGAAAAAGGAAAGTTTATTGAGAGAAAGAGCATCCAGGGGTCTGAAGCCAGAGGTTCTTCAACCTACCCTTCCAAGGAGAGGTGATATATTCATATGGAAGGGGTTGAGGTGTAGGGTCACAAGAATGGCAGGCACTTTGATTAGCTTACTTGCCATTGTGACCTTATCAGTCTATCTATGGATGTTGGCTGCCAGTAAGGGAGGGCTCTGGCCAGAGGACTCTGGTCAAAAGTCCCTACAACTAGCTCCTTATTTTCTGACAGGAAATTATCTCAGGGTTATTCAGGGACTGATATAATATTTACTTTCTCTCTCTCTCTCTCTCTTTTTAAATTTGCTAAAGGGTTCCTGCAGTCATCAGAGAGCAACAGAGAGAGAGAAAGAGAGAGAGAGAGAGAGAGAGAGAACATCCCCAGTGGGATATAGTAATGCCACAATCACTTTTCCTCTATTTCTCTGTCCTGTTGAGATTTGGGGCATACACACACATGTCCAATGTGTTTTTCAATCCACCAAATCCAGGACTCAAACTGCCTTGTTGGCCATCTGGGATCTTTGTACCACCAAGCCACAGGGCCAGACCTCACACTTACTTTTACACCTGTCTTCCCTGCTTGCTGGGATAGCTCAGTCTTTCCCTGCCATATTCAATGTTCATTTATCACCAGAAGCCTGAAGTCTGGTATAAAGCCAATATTGGGATTCCTTTACAAAAGCATGGATGCAGAAGTGGAGGCATGAAAGTATGGATAAATCACATTAATAAGTCAACTTAGTTAAGTTAGTAGGTTCAATCAAATTTGCCAAAAGTTAGATAATCATAAATTCTATTTTTTAATGAATGAAAGTGAACTAAAGTATATTAGTAAATTAAGTAATTGGATATTTTTGCCATTATTTTATTTAACTTTTTGCATACTTTCCTCAAAGTATTAAATTCTTTATTTTATTATTTTCTTAGAAACAGATTTTTGCTACAGAGTTCAAGCCCTCACCAGAGAGACAGAGAGAAAAAAGTAGGAAATCAACCCCAGGGGGGATGGTCACACCACAATCCTTCTCCTCCATTTTCCTCTTAGAATTTTGGGAACACATGAACACATGCCCGGTATTTCAAGATGTTTCAAGCTGTCAGGTCTGGGACTCAAACCGTGGTCTTCCATGGGGGAGTCCAGTGACATAACCATTATAACATCTGCAAGTCCCAGTTCAATTCATTTGAGAGCTTGAACTTATCACTTGAGCCTGTCAGAGAATGTAATTGGGTAACAGACAAAAAGGGATGCTAACAATGTATACAACACCTAATCTGCATTTATAAAGTAGTAAGTGTACATGAGAAGACTAGAAAGAAAAATGGAAAAATTGACTGAAATTCTTACTGGGAGAGACAGAATTCCAGGTGGTCTTTAATTTTTTTGTGTCTTTCTGTATGTTGAAAATTGCATATTATATGTATGTATTAGTTTTATAACCAGAAAAATATTGAACATTATTTAAACATTGTTTTATATGCTGCTCTACTAGCATTCAGATCTGTAATGAAAATGTATTCATTAAAAATCATGGAGTCTGAGGCCAGAAGGTGGGGTAGTAGTTAAGGTGTTGGACTCCCTTATGGCTCACCATAATTCCAGACCCAGACCTGCAAACTTGAAACTCATCAGGCATGTGTGCGTACATGCTCAAAATTTCAAGAGAATGGAAGAAAAGGGATGGCAGCATGGCCATATACCCAGGGGGTGATTTCTCACTTTCTGTCTCTCTGTCTTTCTGGCAAATGCATGTGTCCTAAAAAGCAAAAATCTCTCTCTCTTTTTTTTTTTTTTGAAGTTTTTGCTATAGTGCGCATGCGCTCGCCAGAAAGACAGAGAGAGAGAGAGAGATAGAAAGTGAAAAATCACCCCTAAGGGGATGGCCATGGAGCAATCCCTTCTCCTCCATTCTCCTCTCCGGATCTTGGGCATGCATGCACATGTGCCTGGCATGTATTTAAGCCACCGGGTTTGGGACTAGAACCGTGGTCAACTTCATGGGAGTTCAGCGACATAGCCCTTACATAAGCTAACTGCTGTCCCAAAGCAAAAATCTCTCAAAAAGAGAAAAACCTTCATGGAGTCTAATAAAAAAATAATTGTTGGAATAAGAAGGTGGCAGAGAGGTTAAAGCACTGGATCCCACATGTCTGACTGTAATTCAAGTCCCACACTCAGCAGCTTGAAAATTATAGTCGGCACATGTGTGTGCATGCCCAATGCAGAATGGAAAATAGAGAAGAAGGGATTGTGGTGTAGTCACCCCTCCTAGGAGGTGCTTTCTCACTTTCCTTTTCTCTCTCTGGCAAGTGCATCACCCTATAGAAACACTAAAAAAAATAATAAAAGTACTACTAATAAAAAAGTAGTTGTTATAGGAGTGATTGCAAAAACTTTTTTAATGAGAAGAGTGTCCAGGAATGTTGAGATATATTTTTAAAATGCCACAATAATGCACACATTACATTTTTCCCAGTTAATTTTTACATGAGGTAGACATTCATTTCTGTGAATATCTTTTAAATTATATTTTAAATTTATTATTGTTATTTGATTTGTTACACGGTACATGTGCCCACCATAGAGAGAGAAAGAGAGAATCTGAGGAAGCAAGTCAGCAGGTCTGGGACTCAAACCACGGTCAACCATGTGGGAATCCAGTTCCTCAAATCCCTCGATTTCATTCTTTTCTTTTTAAATGGGATTATGTATTTTTGCCCATGGTCATATATTTTTAGTTGATTTTTAGTTGATGAGCTCAGCTTGGATTCAAACTCAATCCTATTGATTCTATTTTTTCTTAAAGTTTATTTATTTACTTCTTTCAAGAGTGAGGGAGACAGTGAGAGTATGTGAGAAATAAATAGAAGAGAAAAGGAGAGTCAGCACCTCCACCAGGGTCATGACACTGTGATCCACACCCACTCTCAGCTAGTCCCAGATCATGGGAAAGCACATAATGAACATACTCAGTGAGGTCTGTGGACAGGAACCAGGACGCTCTCCATGTGGAATTGCCTCACAGAGCATCACATTTAACTGGGGTGCCATGTTTGGCTCCCTGATGCTACCTCCTATTAGCTGTGTTTACTTTCCATTTCCACTGACATTTCCTTAGAAAAGGGCACTGTGGGAACCAGCAGTTAGTGTAATGGCTATGTCACTGGACTCCCACGTAGTCGACCGCGGTTTGTGTCCCAGACCCAGTGGCTTAAAAACTCACGCCGGGTGCGTGTGCGTGCGTGCCCAAGATCCCGAGAGGAGAATGGAGGAGAAGGGATTGCGGCGTGACCATCCCCCCTGGGGGGTGATTTCTCGCTTTCTGTCTCTATGTCTCTCTCTGTCTGTCTGGCGAGCACACGCGCCCTACAGTAAAAATCTCTCCAAAAAAAAAAAAAAAAGAAAAGGGCGCTGTGACTCCATGCTACACTTACAACAACCTCCCAACATGGCCTTTTTACTTCCTGCCTTGGCGCCCTCCAACCCTGCCTCTCCTGAAGGGTCAACAGCATAGCATTGCTTCCCTGCTTATAACTTCTCAAGGTGCTCTGTTGCCCTTAGGCTGAAGCCCAGATTTTTCCTTTCCCTTGTCTTGGTCATGAGCCCCTTACGATACTGCCCTAGCCTACATCTCAAGCTCAACCACATTTTCCTTCCATACTCTTATTGTAGAAGAAAACATTTAAAACTTTCCCTAATATTTATTGACTCAAATATGATGCTAAGTGCTTTAAAGTTTTACTGCAACTATATCAATTATGTTTTTGTGTTTGAAGCTAGGTATACTGTTCAGAAACCCAACCTTTACACATTTCTATAGCAAACAGTCTTTCAAAATACATAACATCCTTTCTGGTGTCTGGAATTTCCTATATGCTATGTCTTTTCTGTTTCTCTTTTTATTTCACTAACTTAGATTTGTATTTCAGCTACCAGTTTTAGACAGTCTTCCCCCCAGGAAGTTTTCCCACTGGCTAGCTTCCCTACTATTTCCTTCTAAAATGTCCTGTTTTATTTTTATCCAACAGTTTTCATATTGTACTGAAATTGTTTTCTTGTACCCTGTAAATAGTAAATTCTTAGAGGATAAGGACAGTATCTTGACTCCACTTTCCTCTTCTGAAGTCGAAAGTATTTTACTCCAGCATCCTTGCTGTTTCTTGTCTCTTTTTAAAAGTTTATTCTTTTTTTTTTTAAATGAGAAACAGAGAGAAATACAAGCACCTCAACAGGGTTCCATACCATAACCCCTGCTCCCCACACTGTGCCCTCAGACTTTTGAACAGCAAGGATCACTGGCATAAATGTACATGCCTGGTGTGTATAGGTTGATCTGGAAATAAACCATGTCTTCCATATGACTTCCAGCACTGCAGAGCGAGCTGCTACCACTGTGCCACTGTAGCTGGGCCACTCTCTTTGCTCTTTCGTCATCTAGGAGGCTAGGAGCTACTGAGGTCTCTCTGTCACATATGCAGCCACATACCCAAAACTGGACCCAAGTAACAGAGTTTGTGATGGTGGGCTTTGCAGGAGTGCATGAAGCACGCCTTCTCTTCTTCATACTCTTCCTCACCATGTATCTGTTCACCTTGATGGAGAACTTGGCCATCATTATAGTGGTGAGCTTGGACCATCGGCTATGGAGACCCATGTATTTCTTTCTGACACATTTGTCCTGCCTTGAAATCTGGTACACCTCAGTCACAGTGCCCAAGATGTTGACTGGTTTTACTGGGGTAAATGGGGGCAAGAAAATTTCCTTTGCTGGCTGCTTGTCCCAGCTCTTCATCTTCACCTTCCTTGGGGCAACTGAGTGTTTTCTACTAGCCGCTATGGCCTATGACCGCTATGTGGCCATTTGTATGCCTCTACGCTATGGCGCCTTGGTGTCCTGGGGCACCTGCATCCGTCTAGCAGCTGCTTGTTGGCTGGTGGGCTTCCTCACACCCATATTTCCCATGTACCTCATGTCTCAGTTGACATTTTGTGGCCCAAATATTGTCAACCACTTCTTCTGTGATGCCACACCCCTGCTAGCTTTGTCCTGCTCAGATGTCACCTTGAATGAGACTGCACATTTTCTGGTGTCTCTGGCTGTCCTTCTGGTCTCTTCTACAGTAATCATTGTGTCCTATGGCAACATTGTCTGGACGCTGTTGCATATTCGCTCAGTGGCTGAGCGACGGAAAGCCTTCTCCACGTGTGTGGCTCATTTGACTGTGGTGAGCCTCTTCTATGGCACTCTTTTCTTTATGTATGTCCGGACCAAGGTGATGGCCTCCTCCGTAAACTTCAACAAGGTGGTCTCTGTCTTCTACTCCATTGTCACTCCAATGCTCAACCCCCTCATCTACAGTCTTCGGAACAAAGAAGTGAAGGGAGCCCTGGGTCGAGCCTTTTCTAAGTCTTGGAAAGGACAGTGGGAGGCAGGTGGTAAAAGTCAATTTTCTTGTTTTAGATATTTGAAAGGAAGTAGGTGAGAACTATGCAAAAAAGTTATGACTTAGGCAGTCAGACTATGTATTAGTTAAAGTAAAATGCTAACTTGCTGTGACAGAAGACACTGAATTACAATGTAGTTTAGGGAATGAAGGAGATTTTCTCTTTCTGGTAAGAGTCTGAAATGAGTGTTCCAGGTTCATGGGTGGCCCTGTTCAGAAAAAAAATTCAAATATCTCCATTCTTAGAGTTGGCAGTGGCATAATGGTTTAGGTGCTAGACTCCCATGTGGCCAATTGTGGTTCGAGTTCTGAACTTGGTGCCTTGCTTTCTTACTTTCCCTCTCTCTGTGTCCCTCTCTGGTCAAATTAAAATAAATAAATAAAGTTAAATAAGATATTCTTTAAAAATAAAATCCACATTCTTTGTCTCTGGTAGGGTCAGCCTCCCCTAGTATATTGGCAAAAGTAAGCATACAAGCCTAATGCAGTTAAGCACTTGCTTTTCAATGTCCCAAGAACTAGAAATGACTTTTACACTTTTAAATGGTTGAAGACAAATGAAAAGAATTAATTTTTCTATAGAGTGTGTATGCTTGCCAGAGAAAGATACATGGAAATAAGGGAAAAGTAGGAAATCACCCTTCAGTAGGAATGTCCACACCTCAATCTCTTCTCCATTCTCTTCTGGAGAATTTGGACATAAATACACATGTGCGTAATTCTCAAGCTACTGGATCAAGTACTTGAACTACACAGTCATTTATGTGGGATCCATTTTCCTTAACTACCATGCCATCTGACTGGCCCCAAATAATAATAATTAATGACACAGAGTCCTTTTTTTTTTTTTTAATTTGAAGAGGGTCCATATGGTTAGCAGAGAGAGACAGATAGAGAATAAAAGAGAGAGAGAAAGCGATGGACATGGTCATACCATCATCCTTTCTCCCACCTATTGGGATTGTGGGCATGCGTACACACACGTCTGGCATGTTTATCATCCATCAGGTCTGGGACTTCAGTTGCATAATTCGCAATGTGGATGTAGCTCTCAAACACCAGGCCATGGATGGTGTTTTACAATCTTAAAATTTTATTGTTCACAAAGTAAGTTTTATTAGAACACTGTTATACACGTATGCTTTTGGTTATAATGGCTGAGTTGAGTAGTTGTGATAGAGACCATTTGCTAATGCCTGATTTAGAAAGTTCTTGTTATTCACATGGTCAACCCTGAGGTGCAGTAGAAAAGAATGTAAGGATGAAGCACATGAAGGAGACACATACGATGTCTTAGGGTTTCTTGACTACATGTAGCAATCATCACTTCTACTCAGTTCCTTAAGTGAGAAATGAACCAGAGGTCACATCTATGCAAGAGCAGTAAAAATAATCCATATTTGGGTAGCCAGATGCCCAGCCACCATTTGATTATTGTAGAAAAAGATGAGAAAATTTGGGGTAGATAACCAGAGGTTTCAGTTACAGGCCCCCCTGCCATAATCAGAGTTGATTTTGAAAAAAAAATTTTTTTAATTTACATATAACAGGTATACCAATTCATGGAGACTGGATTTTCAAAAACATGTATACATTGTTTAATGATCAAATCAGGGCAATAAACATATCCACTATCTTAAACATTTATAATTTCTTTGTGCTGTGTTTATTTGAAATGTGAGCCATGCACTTGATTTTTTTTTTTTTTTGAATTTACTTTCTCTTATTTTAAATGCAGGCTGATTCTCTCTTTATATCAGGTGGTATTCTAAAAATGTATTTAAGAGGATACCTATGGTAATGTCAAGTCTCTTAAAGATGTACTTAAAAATTTATAAACTTGAGTAATTCCCAAGATGTGGATAGCCACATCTCTAAAGACATTTATAATCATCGTTTGATAGAACTTATTGGAATTGTGCATTTCCATAGTGATTTTTTTATTATATTTTATATTATACATTAAATCACTGTATATCATTACAACTCTTAAAATGAATTTTCTCAGCATGAATACACTGCATGTTAGTCTAGTTGAAGATATTATTATACATGTTATCAACAGATCATTTCCATTTTTATGCCCCTTCAATGTTTTACTTAGTGATTTCAAGGATAGGTTTTGTGGAGGGAGCCCTGGGATAGTCATGTATTCTCATTCAGTCCCTTTCCTTGATTTGGTTATGTCAATCCATGTTCCTGGATATTTTGATCCCATGCCCTCCTTATCTCTCAGTCCAGAGATTTCTTCTAATTTATTATTTTTCTCATCCTCCCTTCAGCATCTGGTAGCTCCTCCTCAACTTCACTCAATGGTACCTTTCTCTTCAAAAGGCAGTATTTCTGACACCTCCCCTTTCTGAGGAAGAGTTTTCATTGTGAGAGAAACTTCATCCAAACTACGGTTTCTCCAGTTACCTGGATTTTGAACTTTGTCTTCCTATCTCTGTCTTTCTCCTTTTGAGTACGTCCACTGCCTGTTCAAGTCCCCAAGCCTACACTGAAGTGCACACATCTTCTCTACTTCAGTAATTCAGCAGCTTCCCATTTCCTAAAGAATGGAGCCTATCCTTCTGAGTCTGTCAAGTAGGACCCTCTATGATGTCTGGTCATGGGCTCCCTATTTTCCCATCACAGGCTATGCTCAAATCACTCTCGGCTCCTATTGCTTTCTTGCCTCGGGCTCCTATTGCTTTCTTGCCTCAAGCCTTTACTAACTTAACTCTTTTCCTATAGTGTCCTAAACATGCTTCATTGCCTTTGAAATCATACTTGCTCTTTAGGTCTATGTCACATGCTGCTCCCTTCAGTGAGAAGCGTCCCTACATACCCTCGTTAGAAATACTTATTCTGGGACATCTGGTGCTGTAGAGGTTAAGGTGGCTAGATTCCACATGGACAACAAGTCTTGGATGCTGCGGCTTAAAAAATATGCCAGGCACATGGGAGTGCATGCCTTGCATGTGTGCCCAAAGTCCAGAGAGGAGAATGGAGGTTTGCCCCATGGCTATTGCTCTTTTGGGAGATAATTTCTCACTTTCGTTCTCTATAGAGTGAGTTTACACACCCTATAGCAAATTAAAAAATTAATAAAAGTTATTCTACTGTATACTCATGTCTTAAGCTTAAACTTATATTGAACAATTGACTTTATTTTACACTCCAGTTTCTTTATTGAGAAGCAAGAGCTGTGCTCAGTGTGGCGAACAGTATTCATGAACTCTGGATTCAGGCCTTGCCTTATTTCTTGACACCATTTCTCTCAGCAGACTGGCTGTATACTTTAGAGAAGAGTTAAAATTTGTTGAATGCATGACATGTTAGGAAAATACAGATTAATTCATTATGGGGATTTTTTTTTCAATATTTATGGAATGCCTACCACATGACCGATGTTAAACTAGGTGCAGAATTTGGACAAACTTATGGTTGATCAATGAAAAAACTAGGTGCAGAATTTGGACAAACTTATGATTGATGGATGAGAGGCTGGATATCATAGACTTAAATGTCTTTAGTGTCGGATGTAGGGAGGGCACATTGACCTATTTTTGGTCTCCTTCTCCAAGGACTTTTCTTTCCCATTGAAGGAATTTTCCTTTACTATGAACATGAGCTCTCATGTGAAATTACCCTCCCTGCTGGCTAGGCACCCTCTGACTAAGGGTCAGCTTCCTTCCTTATCTGGTGACAGGGAAGGCATTTGTAGAAGCATTTTGACCTGTCATCTAGGGCTGACTCCCTGGTTTCCACAAGACACTTTCCATTGCAGATTGAGGAAGGGGTCTATGTATGAGAAGAGAGAGAGCACTGGGGAGACTGTAGGAGAGCTGAGGGGCATCTGTACCATCAGGCTGCAAAGCAATTAGACTCATCATTCTCACTGGGTCTTTCCCTCTCTTCTTTTCCCCAACTCCTTCCAAGTCACCCCAACAAGATGGAGAAAAGACAGAGAAAGGATTGTGGGTGACCACACCCCTCTAGGGAATGCTTTTGTCCTTACTGTCTTCATCTCTCAATCCCTCTCTGGAAAGCACACAAGCCCTTTGGCAATTAAAAGAAAAAAAAAAAAAGCTCAGCATCAGTGTCTATGTCCTGACATCAGGCTTTAAAGCAAAGACAGTAACAACCTCAGATGGACACGTTGGTTATTTTAAGGTAAACTTGAATTGGTAAAGACATGTAATTCATTTTTCTATTTGTAATTAATTAATTTTCCTTTAGCAAATTCCTTTATTTTGAGAACTAGGAAGTAATTTTGGGAGGTTTCATTTTCTGAACAGCTTCAGAGCTGTGTAAAATCAGTAATTCACCTCTTCGACTGGGTCCCCTAAGTCAGTTTAATGTATCAAATACTCATGGGTTCTTGGCTTGTGTGAGATGCTGTGGTTCTTTATGGTTCTTAGGGAACTCTCAGCTTTCACCTCTAAGAGTCCTGGACTCTGCCAATTACACTATGACAAATAGCCAAGAAGACTAATTTCCCATAATGGACTGATTAGCCTAGAAAGTTTTTCCTGAGCCTGGGAAGCTTTGTATTTTAAAACGATTCTGTTAAGAAGTGAGAGAGGAATAAGCCCAGACTAATGTATCATGTTGTCTGTAGATCAACACCAACAGGTCCCTGCATTTGAGAAAGGTCCAGAATATTGTCTTAAATGTCCAATCAGTACCCTTGGGCATTTTGTCTTGAGTGAGATGATGTTTAGATGGGCTGACATGTGATTTAGTAGAAGACTTCAAGCTTTACTATCTTTTTCTCTGGTATGCTTTCACTTATAAATCTACACACTTCTCTCCCATAAAAGTGCCAGAGAGTATGCTGGCAGATGTTTTATTTAAAATTACTTAAGATCACTGCCCTAGTGAGATATACATTGCTACAAAAACCACTATCTTTGGGACCAGCAGTTAGCGTAATGTCTATATCGCTGGACTCCCACATAGTCAACCATGGTTCAAGTCCCGGATCCGGTGGCTTAAACTCATGCCGGGCATGTGTGCGTGCGTGCCCAAGATCCGAAGAGGAGAATGGAGAA